GCAATGTATGTTCTCATTCATCTGTCACACAGTAGTAGTTTTTGATAGTGACTACTGATTTTGCATGAAACATACAGAACTATTTAGTTGTTAAAGAATGATTCATTTAAAATCGTCAATAGTTGGCAGATTGAAAATAAGAATCCTACACTATAGCACCACGATTTGGGTATCAGTGGATTCCTCTCACTTTTAGCATCCAAATACATAGAAATTATTTTGCGGGAACCCCTCCATTAGGAAAGTTTTTTGGAAAATAGAAAGAAATTTGTTGATTATTGGTTATGCAGATAATTATAGTTAGTGAAAGAATTTCAAGAATGTGTTTTTCAGCTGAATTCTTCACAAAATATTATTGGGATTACCATTTGCCTTTCTCAGAGATATTAAAAACTTTTTCCTAAAAATCGCAATTTTAAAGCCAAATTCATAATCTTCCAGTATCAAAGTAATCTGGCAATATGGTATGACTATGCAAATGTAGGATAATCAGAATAATGTTAAAAATTTAACCCCTACCTCCACACACCCCATCATCATCTTGCCCTTTGTCCTTCTACTGCTTCCATCTGGACAAACTTTTCAGCCAAGTGGGATCGATTCCCCCAACAAAGCTTTACTTTAACAATACCCTTTTCTTCCAACAATGTCTGCAAAAACAAGTAAGCAAATTTTCCTTTTATATTTGTTCTGATCATTCACACCTTGTCACAAACTTGAATCTGTGGTAGCAGTTCTCAGATTCATACTAGGCCTCACTCTGCGTGAGACCAGACAGGAAGCACACGAAAAAGGGCTTTCTCTTTCTGCATATTCTAAAACTGTTCTCTGCTCCGCTCCGCTCCTATCTTAAAATGTCTCAGCATCTTCCTCAGTATCTCTTCCCTCTACCCTGAACCATCCAACCTGTACTTTCTCTCTCCCCTAGTCAAAATTTTTTTCCAGTATAAATTCACATACTCCAATGTCTACCAGTTCTCTGATGCCTACTTCTCTTCACCAGGTAATCTAAATGCTCCATTCCATCTCCTACCACATCCCCTCCTACTCCACGTGTACCACCATTCTCTCTTCTTTCCCTTTTATCCTTACCACTCCCACCTGGATACTCATGTGACTCCCTTATGTCACAATAGTATCCTTCCCTGGATCCTTTGCCTCCTGACATTCTTCCTGATACTTCACCCCCTTCTTATTCTCTGGATTCTTCTCCTATTTCTCCAACTACCATTTCCACCCATATTACTCTTTGTTTCATAATGGCTCTTTTGTAGTTTTCCACATACACAGTGTTAATCTCCTTGCCTCAGACACACAGATACTCTTCAGTTGATCATACCCTATACCCTATACCTTCCCCTTTACAAATCCCTGCCATACTCCATTTGCTCTTCCCTTTTTCTCTACCATTCTGTCCGAAAGCACTTTACAGCCTTTGCCATTTGACTCATTTTCTCCTAATTATTAAGTCATTTTTTACCCTTTTGCCACAATACTTTACTTAGTGCTATATGACCTATGATGCGTAGGCCACCTACATGTTTGAACCATTATGTACAACATAAATAGCATGTACATTTTCCTCATTTCTTTTGAAAATATTCAGATAGAGACAAAATTATTGAATTATTTCTATTACAGCTTAAAATAAAAAGATTGCAGGTATGTAATTATATTATATGTCATACATTAAGTACCACATATGTTGCTTTCAAATAATAAAAATGGTAGAACAAGGAAGAGGCATTATTTATTATGGATTCAGTATAACCTATCAGTCTTAGGTAATGCTCTTCATGAATAATCCTAATTTATTTTATTTGCATATTTATCTTTATATTTTAAAATTTACAAAATTTATTATCTTTTTTATCATTATTGGTTAATCTTTATGGTATGGATGCACCAGGGTAGGGCAAATTGAAGATCATAATCTTGTAGAGGACTAAAAGTCTTTGGTACAAGAAATACTCTGCAGACATGAACAGTGTAACCACAAATAAAGGAAAAAGGTCACAGAAAACGTCGCTTGCAGCCTTAATCCACTTGATGATCCGGAGTTTCAGCTTTATCATGTTGTGCATACTAAGGTGAAGACAATGCTTCTTGGGTTTTGTTGGGGGGCAGAGCCGTTATCCTTTTTATTTATTCATCTTTTTATTTATACAGTTTGTTTATTTTTTACTTTTTTTTTTTCATATTTCTTTTTTCACAGAATATTTTTGTAAAAATATTACAAAAGATTTGCAATACTGTAAACCTGGATGATGGAATATATTACTGTTTGTTTTACTCATGTATATTATTAGAATGGCAATACTGGGAAAAGTTATTCTTGAAGTGCACAGGCATTTATAAAAATAGACCACATCAAGGGATCCGAAGACCAGAAACCTCTACCATAAATACTCTGGGATGGCAGAGTAGGGACTAGCTTCTTATGTAATGAGATATTACGTGAAGGATCTTCAATCTCTATCTTTAAAAGTATATATATGGT